CTGGATTCCCTGTTTCCAGATCCTATGTGTACCAGTGTACATCCTCTGGTATAGCCAGATTTGTAAGGTAGAATTAGGATCATGATAGTGTGTATGTGGGGGGAACTATTGATCTTTTCTTTTTTAATGGCTTTTGGCATAGTCTTTATAAGTTTATTGTTATTCTCCCAAGGGCAGAATGACTCCTGGCAACCACAAGTGTGTCACAGGAATGTTCCGGAGGATTTCTGTGTTTTGCTACTGACGTGTTGGAGCAGGTAACTCGTCCCTGTGTTGTGCACTCCAGGATGCTTAGCTGCAGTCCCGACCTCTCTCGACTGGATGCCAGTAGCAATCCCTGCTTCTCCGATTATCACCAAAAATGTCTCCAGACATGACCAAATGTTCACTGGAGGACAAAACCAACCCCAGGTGAAAGCCAGATACAGACATAAACAAAATGTTACCTGTGGGTGTACACACACACACACACACACACACACACAAACACACAGGGTCACACAATGGCCTGGCTTCTCAAACATGCAGTCACATACTGTCACACAGACCTTCAGGCTAGTTTACACATAGTCACCTGGAAACCCACTGTCACTCTGTGACCACAGAGAGGGAGGGTTCCATCCAGCATTACTTCCTCAGTCTTTGGGAAAGAGAGGAAATGAACTAGGATGCTTCCTGCATCCCCCCCGGCAGTCTCATCTTTTCCTATAGTGATGCCTTAGCTTGGACCTTTACCCACATTCCACTTCCTGGGGCTTCGGACTTCTGGGTCAGTAACACTAGCCCCTGAGACTTGCCTCCCACCCATCCCAGGATTACCCACCCACTGTCATTGAGCGAACCTACAGGGCAGGGTTGAAGTGATCCTTTGGGTTCCGGAGACTAAATCTTTACAGGAGCAGACAGCCTCCTCTTCCTCCCAAGGAACTGCTGGTGGGCTGGAACCCCTGTCCTTGTGGTTAGCAGCCCAATGATTAACCCCCTGCACCACCTGGATTCCTTTCCTAAGACTAGAGACTTATCCTGTGACCTTCCTGGTGGCTGGCGCAGTGAAGGCCCAGAGATCACACACCTGGTTGTAAAGTTCCTCACATTGTCTCAAATGGGTCTGGGCTGGGTAGCAGAAAGCCTTGTGCCCGTCCCCTAAATCACAGCTCCTAAGTTCACATGGCAAGAACCTGCCACAGTCCAGTGACACATAAACAGAGGCATACAAACCACCTCTCCCAGACTGGGCACTCCCAACACAGGGCTCGATGCGAGCTGGGCCAGGGCTCACCGTCACGTGGAGGGCCCGCAGGGCCTCATCAATGGCAGCCAAGTAATCAGGCAGCAGATCCAGGAGACAGGTGGCCAGAAAGACGCCGCCTGCGAAGCAGCTTACCAGGCTCAGGGCTTTCTGGCGGGAGGCTGGGCAAGAGTGGAGCAGGGAGAGGAATGAGCCAGCGGACCTCCGCCAACCCCCACTCCCTCACCCCGAAAGAAGGTCTTGTGTTCCGGGCCTTAGGTGGCCGCCCATAGCCCCCAAAACCTTCCCTACCCCAAGGCACAGAACTTGCAGAGCGTCAAGAGGCTTACTGGAGACTTGGTGGTTCACTCCCGACCGGCGCAAGACGCAGATGGGCA